TGAGTGATTTTAGACTGGGGATAAGGTTCATTCCATCTTTCATAAATTATGAACAATAAAGGAATTTTATAGATATTCAAAGAACATACATAGATTACATGCACTGTGCTATGTTTACCAGTTGAGAAATGTATACATGAAGACAACACACATACACACACACATATATATATATTTAAACTATATTTTCATATATGTGTGTGTGTGTGTATATATATACATATATATATATAATAGAAACTATAAGAAAGTTATAAAAAAAGAATTATGGAAACCATGTGAAGAACGACACTCCTGTATTTGTATACTATTATGTCTTTATTTTTTTTACTCTCTTGGTAATACTATCTGTCCTTTGGAAAAATGTTTTGAAGACTCCTTTTTATTTTTTTTCTGAAGCTGTCAGTGAAAGTGCTTCTAGAATAAGATATTCAGTTCATGGCATCCTTTCAGTTTAATTTGTTTTTATCTTGCTGGCAAAATATCTGAAAGTATTTTATAGAGTATGAGATTAAAATAATAAGATGATGTTTGCAGGCTGATATAGCCAGTCTTTGGAATGCCAAGCAGTCAATCTTTCATCTCTTTCAGGTGTTAAAACCTATCTTATTTTCTCTAGACACCTGCTCTTCACTGACCAGGAACCTTGATCATCTAAATTTGTTCTGAAACCAGTTATAGCTACATGGCGAAAAAATATATATGCCTGGCTATTAATGAGTTGTCCAAGTGAACGCCTATTAATAGGTCTTAGACCTAATTATTACAACGATTATTCAAATTTCTTTTGACTTTTTCACTGGCAGAAGATAAAATAATCTGATTAGTAATTAAAAAAAATTTAAAGAAAACAATGCAAGATAGTAAAACTCTAACATTCTATAAGTTTAGTTACTTTGGCTAATTTATGGGGTATGACTATATGACCTTGCCTTTTTTTAACAAAAATGGTCTTTAACTAGAGTTTTTTTTTAATGCGCCCTGCCCGCTTTCCCCCGGTTTTATGAAGTTCTGCATGGCCTTATATTTAGAAGGCATTTTGTCAAAGTCTCACTTGCA